TAAATCTAAGAATCCTAATAAATGATTTTTTTAAATAAAGAGTCGAATGGGTGTAATGCAAGAACAATATCAAATAATGAAGCAGAAAATCGATTATTTAACATTGAACAATAATCTACTCAACACTCAATTGATGGAACAGCCTGCTGCGACTGATGGTCTTTTGATATGGCTGATTTCGTACATTCGCAAAAGAATCGACAATGCACTATGTTTGAAAGATCCCTTTGTGAAATCGCCGATGTTTTTCACGGTAATGAACGGACGTCGAGTGCGGGCTTATCTTTATCTCAATGGCAAGTCTAGTACTAGATACAGATCAAGTTGCTATATTTCCATCTATATTCGACTCCTCAATCCAATTTATCAAAACTTAAAGGGTACTATTACGTTTTGTATAGTTGATCAAAGCAACAATCATCCTCTAGATCATATTAAACGAACATGCTCAGTAGATACAATGATGCCAGATGAACTGATTGGTTTCGATGATTTCATGCCTAAAAATTGTCTTTATCAGGAACCAAGTCAATATATTCGTGACGACGAAATATGGATCATTGTAAAATTTAATCAAAAAAATACAGAATTTTTTTCCAATCTTCCATCACGCGTACAACACGCACTAGCAAACATAAGATAAACATCCAATCGTAAAAAACTGTTCGTCGACCTAACTTTCATATATTTGATTTTTTTTATTCTATTTTTCGATTTATCTGGACACTAAATCCACACTTAGTCCCTTTTTAAGCCATGAAATCATTTTAAGGAAAAAAGTAGATCACTTTGTAATGAAGTATGTATCTATCAAAGTATGATAGAAGAAGAACGAAAGTAAAAATCCTGAACTTAAAAAAGAAATCATTTTCATCTTTACAATCTATACTATCGATAAAAAATCTATTGAGTAAAGAAAAAGAACAGAAATATTCATAACATACATCTAGATAAAATATTTCTAAAGGTAGGATGATGATGATGATGATATATGTAGTCTCCATCCACATTTCATTCTTTATCATGATTAAAAAACAAATATTTTTCTAATTGGAGACACACATACGTTGAATATTTCTTTTTCTAAATTCAATTTTCTGTGAAACTATTGGAATAAGTCAAAATAATCGATGCATTGCATTTTCGAATCGTCAAGCACATGCACTCCATTGAGTCTAATTAAAATGGCAGCTGTTTTTATTCTGCCAGAAACATATTCACTCTTATTGAGTAGGTCTAAATGGTTCTTTTACAAGCTGTACAAAATCGATCAGCGAAGCGATCGTATCGATATCTTTACTCAAGCATGTATAACAATAAATTGAGTAAATTGGATTCTCTTAGAAAAGTCATTTTTCAGCGTAATTCTTATGGGATAAAAATGTGAACATGATCGATTCGCTCCCATCTTTCAAGAGAGCCCTAGTCACATAGATCATTCTGAAACATCGAAACTGAATCGATTCTGTCCGTCATGCATTGTGACGCTAAAAAACTCTTGTCCATTTTGTCTGTTTGACGCGAATCAGTGAGGCAAGTCTGAGACGGTGAAGGGAAGGAAAGGGAAATTCAGTTTTCTCTAATAGTACTTTGTGAATCACGATTGTCAATGACACAAGCGAAACGCAAACTTACGGCTAATTGTTGTTATTTACTGCAAGCAAATATGTTATCAGTATTTGAATTTTGAATCAGGTCATATACTACATTCTCGAAATGATTCATGGCTTATGTTACCCTTACACATTTTCATTATTCCGATATTGTTTTGTGATTCTTTCTCATTTTATATTCTGTCCTTCTTGTGTTTCTATCATTTAATTATATATGCGAATGTTGAGTTCATCTTCATGGATATATAAGTTATTCATTACTTCGGAGATAAAAATTCTTTTTAACAAGTTCATAACTAGTTTTGAGACAATAAATCTTCTGCAAACACACTTTTTCACTGTTTTTTATGGACAATTCGACTATCGAGGAAGTCACGATAAGGACAACGAATCAAGAGAGAAAGGTGGATGTGAAATGTGAGTGAACTGTAACTTTTCGCGAGTTATGGAAAACTCATATAGGAGTTTTTTCAATAATATCTTACAACTTAGAACTGAAACATTTAACATACAATAGATAACAAGACATGTATCTTTGTATAAATTGGAAACCCAACAACAATAGTGTAGAGAATTAATAGAAAAAAATATGCTTACTTTACTTTTGGTCACAAGGATAATTATACTGCTTTTTATAACTCATGAAAATCAACAGCTTTTTTTTAAATCAAAGTTAACGATGATACTTCAAAGCAGTGTTTGTCAATATTTTTATTATGAATATGATTCATAAACACTCCTTTATCAATGATCAAAGATTCAGCTCATTTGATCAAAATACGACAGAAATCTTCGATTTTTTTTTCTTCTATAAAATGATGTTTTTTTGGATCTCTCTGTATATATCGAGTACGGAAAAAACCGAATGTCGTCATTTACAGCAAAAAAAAAGTAGGAATGCAAAATATTGTCAACAACATAGAGTGACACAGAAGTAATGAACGAGGGTCTTTTGGAAAGATGTGGATGTAGGTTTAAAGAATGAGAAACCCATACTCATACCAACACTCACCCACCGATCCACACGCATGCCCCTATAAATCAACAAAATACTATATAGTAGACAACAGAATATCAATTATTTCTACTCATAAATATGTTTCTATATGAGTATATTGTGTGACGAAGTCAGTTTCGCAGAATTCCGCTTTGTATTTTCCATAAAAGCGACTGTTACACCTGTCCATTCAGAGTTTGTATTATGCCGAACACCAATCAATTTGTTTCTGCTTAAACGTGTTAAAGTTGTAGTCAATGTTGGTCTTTTATCACCATCAGGCCAAAGATACATAAGACGAATTTCTCCTATAACAACATCATCAGTAATTTGTAAAACAGGTTCATATTTAACTTTTTGTTGTAATATCCAATTTTCTGGATCTTTTATTTTTTCAATATCATCATGCGTAATATCAATAATGACACCGCGACCTCCAAACGAAAATAATGGCTTTAATACATAATTTTCTAGATCATCTGGAATAGTGTTGATAATTTCATTCAAGAAATATGTTATTGGTATATAATCACCTTTTAAATATGTTAAAAGAAACTTGCTTATGCGATAAAACCAATGAGGATGTGTTATCCATTCAATGTCCAATTCTTGTCTTATATCAACAATATGTTTGAAAATATCTGGATCATTATTTATTTCATCAAAAACAAGACGATTATAAATTCTTTTTATTAATTTCTTTTCACCTTGATGCTCATAGAATAATTTGTTACCTTCTTGTTTCAAATCGTCTAATGATATAATTGGAATATTTAAATATTTTTGTGTAAGATAAAAATCAGCGGCTGTAATTTGCTGATATGGATTTACATCCATTAGAATAACTTCATGAGGATGATGAGGTCCAACTATAGTTTGTTTAAATAAGCTAAGAAAGCGAGTTTTATCTAATTCATTAAAATAGTTGGTATAATTGGTAGGAATGTCAAAAGTTACACAATAGGCATCACCCAAATCAGCTTGTAAAGCATATGTGGATGGAAATCCTTGTAACTCAATTAATTTGGGTACAGTATCGCCATATTGGTCTCTACAAATTCCAAAATCTAGTTGAATAAAGTGTGGATGATCATTTTCATTCGCACAATGCCATTTATCAGGAATTGATTTTTCTGTTATCTGTTTAAAATCTGGACGTAATATAAAATCAATAATATGATTACTAGCATCAATAAGTCTATCACGAAATTCATCATTGAGAAACAATGGGAATTCAGCTATACGAAAGCCAATCGGATTTGGCAATTCAGTATTTAAATTTTTGAGCAAATTTTGATATTTTTCTTCGATGGAAATATAATTAAACATTTTTCTAATATTTTATTTTTCCATATCGACATTAAACAATCATTATAACTGCCTATAAGTAATCGTACAATGTATAATTGTTAAATAGAGTGAAGTCACATTTAATTTCTGTTCAAGAAAAAATGAAATTCTTCTAATACGTATCTCATGGAGTGGAGTGTGTAAATATACTGTTTTTATTTTTTTATTATCGTTTTTGCGTACGTCAGATATAAGCATGCTCTGTTTTTTCTTTATTTGGCCTATTTCAGCCTTCATATTGACGTTATTATCGACGTTTCGCTTCATCTGACTCATAGTCATACTTTTTTATTATTCTACACCATCGAGTTTATTTTTCTATTCTATGTCATCGGCTTGTCCGGCTAACGGCCAACCGAAGTGATTAAAGTAGAAGTTGAACTTTTAAAAAAATTAGTTATACTATTTTGTAGAGCACACTTTTCTGTCTCAGAATATATAGTTTGAATTCTGTTATCTCCTTAAAGGAAGAAAAAATTATTCGCCATAAGTTGACGACATCTTGGTTTAAATTTATGTCATCTTTACGTCGTTACAGAGAGGAAGAAAAAAAAAGTTAAAGAAATAACTGTCAACTAAAGTTTGACATATGCTTCGAATCTACGAAATTCGGGCTGTTCGTTGATATCAATAATAGCTCCTATGTCTTTTACGAAAAAAAATAGAAAACTCCTAAAAACCTGATAAATTCTTGGGTGAGTTCGTTACCAAACAGGGCCTATAGTTAATTTTTCATCATAACTGCTTGATTAAATTGACCGTAGCGTACACATCTTTGCTAACTTTTCATAGGCTACCTAGGGGCTGTATCAGTTGCGATTTATCTCTGTTCGTTGAAAAAAAAAATAGTAACGCACTCACAGAGTATATTTTTCCTATACGTCTCATTTCAGACTTTCATAATAAATTAAGTCATATTTTGACATCATAAACTGGTCTTAAACATTTATTGTGTTAATAAAAATATAATGACTTTTACAAATGCACAAAAGTAAAAGCGCTATCGTGAAAATTTGAAAGCCAAAGGCTTATATCAAGCAATGAAAGCGACAAATACTGTACGAATGAAAATATATCGTCAAAATCTAACTGGTAAAAGGAAACAAGATTACGATAAAAAACATGCAGAGTCACAAAGAGCTTATCGTAATAAAAACAAACAGTCCAAGTATGTAATATACTATTTGATAATGCTTCACGAAAATTTTCCTCCTCTTTAGAAATTCTTTCTCATCAAAACAGTCTTTCGGAAAGGCATTCAAAAAATCAAAATGCGCTCTTCCAAAAGACTTCAATAAAAAAAAGTAATCATTCGAACTCTAGCTCAAACGGTTGGTATTGTGCCTCAAGATGATCACCAACGTACTACTCGAAAGTTATCATCAAAAATAAAAAATAGTCTAATTTTATTTTATGGTCGAGATGATATTTCATATCAAATGTCTGGAAAACGTGATACTATTATCACCAATGATAATGGAAACAAAACAACATGTCAAAAAAGAATTCTTCTTTATACTATTCGAGAAGCATACAAACTTTTTCTTGCTGAGAATCCAGGTAAATTGTTTTTCTATAGATTGTTAATCCTTCAATTTTATTTAAGGTATTTCTGTGGGCCGAACGGTTTTTGCTGAAATACGTCCTAAACATATTTCAGTGAAATCGTCCATAGCACATCGTGTATACGTTTGCATATATCATGAAAACGTGAATTTACTATTAAATAGTTTATCTAAACATGTCAATGGATCATTTTGTTCAGATTTATATTCATTTACATCGACTCTTGTTTGTGATGAGTCAAATTATGATTGTATGTAATCTAACTGTTTTATTTGTGAAAATTATTTCGATTTAAATATTAAAAAATAATGTTATTGATAGAAATGTTCAAATTAAGTGGTACCAATGGAAGCATATTAATGGTTATGCCACAAAAGAAGAGCAACAAGAATCAGTTGAACAATGCATTGAATTATTATCTTCCAAAGTGAAGACATTTTTATTACATGTTTACATTAAACGTCAGCAAAGTAAATTTTTTGAATAGTCAAAGGCCAAAACCAAAAATAAAAAGATTGTTATTCAAGTTGATTATAGTGAAAATTTCGAAATAAAACAACAAGATGAAATTCAATCTGCTTATTGAAGTTCCAAGTCGGTCTCCATCTTTACAGCTCATGCTTGGTGTGATGCAGATAATTATGCATTTGCATTAGTATCAAATAATATCAGTCATGATAAATATTGTGTTTACAATTGTATTACTTATATCATTAACAAATTGCAAAAACAATTACCATCATTAGAAGAAATTCTGTTCTTTAGTGACGGCGCTGCCAGCCAGTTTAAACAACGATACCTGATACGTAATTTGACACGAATGTCATATGAGTATCGATTGATTCTTTCGTGGCACTTTTTTGCTACCAGCCATGCCAAAGGCGTGGTTGATGGCATCGGTGGCAGAGTTAAAAGACTTGTTTGACAACAAATATTAACCAAAAAAGATAAATGTGAAAATGCAACTGATTTTGTTAATATTGCAAAAACAAAAACTAACACTATCATTATTGATGAAATAACACAAAAAGATATTGATAAATCCACAACTCAATTACAAGCATTTTTTTCGAATACACTATCTGCAAATTTCCAAACTAATTTTTCATATAGAGAGCCCTAACTGTCCTCTACAAATTACAATATAGCTATTGTATTTACAATTCAAGTATTCGCAGCAATTTTACACGTTCTAACAACACCCAAAGAAAGGAGGGCGTTTTTTGTGAGTGGGTTATCGGCATGTATTTTTAGTATAAAAACGAAACTGTGAAGTCGATTAGCATGAAACTTATACATGTTAAAGTGTTTCATAACATACATATATTCTCAAAGTTTCAAGGCTCTAAGCTTTGTTGTTGCTAAAAAAATCGGGTCGAAAGTTGACAACACATCAGTGCGTTACCTACGGATAAGCCGTCATACAAGTTTATTTTCAAAGTTCTTCACATTTAACAAATATATATGGGTTAACAATTTGTAGTGTAAACGTTATAATAACAGTTTTATTTATAACGGTTACTCGCTCGATTTGAAAAAATCTGTTATACTTGCTATTTTATTTAGTTTATTTTTAATCATCGATTGCTAATTCCCTCGACTGAAGGGAGGGTCATACGAAAAAAAATTGTTTGTTTGTTTGCTTGCTTGCTTGTCGCGAGGTCAAAAAACATCAGCGTTAAAAAACATTGACATTTAATTTTTGGTAGATGTTCACGAAAGCAAATCGAGGACGAAGTACCGAATCTCAAGTCAGTTTCTCAAGATTTTGAATTAGATTCTTGGGGTCAGGAGAAGGGTTTTTTGAGAAAATAACGAAATTTTATAAAGGTTGACGAAAGCAAATCGAGGTTGGAGAATTCGAATCTGAAGTCAGTTTTTCAAAATTTTGAATTGCGTTTTGAGGGGTAAGGGAGGGTTTTCGAGAAAATGACAATGTATTATAAAGGTTTACGAAAGGCAATCGAGGTCAGAAAATACAAATATGAAATATGTTTCTCGAAAACTCGAATAATTATTGGTATGAAGAAACGGTATTTCTCTCTCTGAATGATTGTCTAACGCTAAGATGGAACAGGTCACCGGTCGGTATGGAAAAGTCAATGGACCGATCAACGCTATCTAGCGGCCGGTCGCAAGCTATTTCTGCAGACCGGCCCGTATACCTGTTCTTTCTATGGTAGAACGAAAAGCCAATGGTTTTGAGAAAAAATGACTTGAAAAAAGGTGTACTCAAAATTCGGAAAATCCTTCTGTCTGTCTAGAATGCTTGATTGCTGTTTACTTTGAGTACCATTTTCACAGTATCTTGGTAGGTGTGAGTCGAAGTCGAGCCTAATAAAGTGGGTGTTTCATTAGTTGGTTGTGTGATAAAATAACGTTTATACGCTACTAGAATTCAGTTTGAGGTAAACGACATCGAGTGATTCAGGTTCATTTATAGTGCTTTCTAAGTTAAATTACTTTTTTTGTACTCTTTGCTTAAGTCGAAAGACATAGCATTAATAGAACCTTGTAAGTGAAATTCCAGCCTGTAAAGTAAATGCAAATAACCAATGATTATTTTAATGTATTCAAATAATGCAGCAACTGACTATGAGTAGTGCCGGAGAGAGATGTCAGCAAGTGACTTACCACTACTATTGTAAATCTATTCCAATGTTGTTTAAGAAAAGATCTTCGTGAAACCTGCATTTATCAGGTATAATCAGCTAAGGTTTCCTAAATGAGGAGCCCTAATAAAACTCTAAGGTATTGGCTAAACAATGAGGTTGAAGAAATATAGAATAAATAATAAGTGTTGGTTCGGCGTAGCTCATTGGGAGTCATCGTGTTATAAATGTAACAGTTTTTCCAAGGAATAGTGATCTAGTATTTGATAGAGTTTAAGTGAAATAAATTTTCTCAGCGTAGAATAAGATCACAGGTGGCAGCTGCTAGTCGTGAGTGACGCCTTGGAGGGGCGCCGACGAGCGACTAGCTGCTGCACTGGAAACTTACTTTATGAAGGACGCTAAATTATAAAGATTCAACGGAAAAATGTGAACGGGTTAAATTTGATGAGTTTCAGTGGCGACTTAAAGTGATAAAAGAGGAGAAATATGTTCGTAAGTATCATATGACCAGTTTTTCTGTAAGGATAGAGTATAGAAACATTTTATAGATGGAAAACATAATAAAAACAATTCAATTCGTTCTATTAAAAACGAATTGGAATGCAAAATAATGAGCTTTTCTGTTAGTATATGTTCTTATGGATTTAGAAAGTGTATTTCCTTTAGCAGATGGTCAGTTGAAACAGTATATGCCGATATCGATTTTGGATAAATGTGTAAAAAAAGAAGAAAGTAATTGGAAATCGTGTGATTTTTTCGTTCTTATGAATATATTTATCAATTAAGTGACTGATTTGTTGTTACCATGGAATGGTTTTTGGCTATTTATGAACTAACTGCACGGGACAAAAATCAATACGCTATTGAAATTGGTCCTGTTTGAAATTTATAACAGAGTTTCTTTCGTGTGTTGAAATCTATCGATTTTGGAAATATATGCATGGATAGGCGTGGATCTAAAACTGGTACCGGGCATTAATATGTCAAATGCTATTATTACTATTATGCAAAAATGATACTTTTAACCTTTTAGTTTTTCGAGAATTTTGATATGTGCAATGTCTAGCTTCTGTTATTCGAAGAAAATCATTTTGAAAAGATATATGTGAGTGACGTCGTAGCTTTTGTATTAGATGGACAATAAGAACCTGTCATTCAAGTGCACTTACATTAAAAGGAGGACTTAGTGTTGGCTGGTGCCCCAAAGAGGCGCCAACGCACTACTAATCGTTCGCATTGCAAGCATACTGAGGACTGACTTCACAAAAGATGTGTATATCAGCTATATATTTTGAAGAATAGTACACTAAGATTGTCTTAATGAGGACCTTGAAGAAAAGTCTGATTTTCCAGCTGTACAGTTAATTTGAGGAAATCAGAAATATTTCATGAGAATACTCCTGTTCGAAAGTTCTTGTCAATAAATCTAATGCTTCAGATATAACGAATTTTTGAAATAAGTTAATCCTAGATAATATGGAATTAAAATAGAGAGGGATCATATTATGAAACAATGAGGTTAGACTAGCTGCTGTAGTGGATTATCTCCAGAAGTGCCGCTTCGAAGTTTTGGGATTTATTTAATAAACACCAACAGTAGAGGCCTAATAGGTTTGAGTATGGAATGTCAGACGCAAAAATATGTCAAGTCAAGGATGAGAAACGATTTTTCTGTCTGGACACAATAGGTGAATAAGTTATCAGACGAAAAACACTACTAAAAGAATTTATATTTGCCGTATCGGCAGTTGACATGAGTGAAATATAAGAGTGCTTCTTTTGTTATATTCTTTTCTTTGTATTGATTCAAGTATCTGAATTTATACTCATTCATTAAAATTACCTGTCTAGTCTTGTCGCTGCTTTGAACAAGAGCTTGTTTTATGTATGATATTTCGCTTTGCGATTAGATATAGTATGATTTATTTTCAGCTAGGGATTCATTGAGCTTCTACTTTCCTAGAGAACTCTATAGCAAACAGCGTTCTCGATGAATGTTCTAGAAACTATACAAATTTCTAGTAGAATTTTCAAATCCTATACTGCGTTTTCGTATAACTGTTGTGAACTTATTTTGTTACGTGGCCTCTGAAAATATGGATTATGGTCTCTCGTGATTTTTCGAAGTAAGCGTAGTTCGAGATTAGCAGAAGTGTAAATAAAGATGAATTGTGTGGTTGAGACATAGAACAGAAAATAGCAGCGGCTAGCCGTAAGTGACGCCCCAGAAGGGCGCCGACGAACTGCTAGCCACTGCACTAGAAAGCTCCTCGAAGAAAGGCTTCAGACTGTTGAGACTCATCCAATGAACATCAACAGCTTAGATCGAACGGATTTGAATAAGGAGTAGCAGTTGCTAACAACTGAGAAATGCTTTGAAATAAACTGTAATAACGCCTTTTCTTCACATCCACAATATATGTATAGTGCATTTGACGGAAAAAATCATTTGAAAACTTTATATTCATCTTATTGAAATGAGACTTGAATGAAATAAACAAGGTTTTCTGCTGGAGTGTTTCCTTATATGTACTCATTCGAATGTTGATATGTATAGGGATTTGTTCAAATTACCTATCTAGTCCAACGGCTACTTTAAGTAAGAGCTTCTTTCAAGTATGGTAGTTCGATTACAGATCAGACCTAATATGATTGATTTTAAGCTAAAGATTCAACTAAACCCGTATGTTTTTAGCACACGCTCTATTAAACAATACTGTTAGCTGATGTGTTAGTAAGGGAATGGATTTTTTGGTAGAAATTTTAAAGGGTATGGCACGTTTTTACAAGATTGTTGTGAATGTGTTTCGAATCATTATCTCCGAGAAAGCTGAATATAGATTGTTTCTTCGAACACATATAGATATCGCCGGCATAATGTAGTTCTTTTGATTTTTGTTGAATGCTTGTGGGTCTGGGTGTGGGTGTGGGTGTGAGTATCAGTGGGGGTGCGTGTGGGGGGTGTGGAATG